ATAGCAGTTGAGAACCACATATTTTTTATTTTTTTATTTATTTATTTTTTTTTCCGATCTTGTGTTTATATTTGTTTCAATTAAATATATATAATTTAATCAAGTGGGTGGGTCCAGTTAAACTGAAATTTTATTATATTTTTTTGTTATTTTGAACCAGTTAAACTGGGATTACCATCTCATGTTCGTGTAATGAGATTAATTGATATGTTCGACTTGTCAAATTTCACAGCATAAAGGTATCCGAGAAAATAAGATAAATGTCATATGACTTTTGGCTACAAAAGCTGCATGTGATAATTTATTTTCCACTTATTTCATATACTTTGATGTTTAGACGTGAAAAATTAGTATCATTGCTTGTCATCTCATTTTGTGTGCATCGTTGTTTGTCATCTTATTTTGGAACATTTTTTACCTAGTTAAAATTAGGTAGTGTTAAGATTCTAAAAATCAAAATTGGTCAAGCTACTGGTTCAATGTTTGGACCGATATTTAATTTATTAATATTTTTAAACAAATACTATATTTTATATAACAAAATTTATATATAAAAAATTGTTAATTAATTTTAAGCTAATTTAAAACATTCAAAATATTTAAAAGAACTAATAATAACTTATATATCCATTATATTGAAATATGTATTTTTTATTTATATTAAAAATATTATCAACTTAAAAAAAATATTGGACCAGTTCGACCCGACAGGTTTTTGGCTGGTTCTAACCGATTTATGACCGATTCGCTAGCAACCAGTTTTTTCCAGCAAATAGGACCGATTCCCACTCGGATGGCCAGTCTTGTCCAATTTTCTAAACCATGCTAAAAACATACATCATACACTATTTTGATTTCAAACATTATACATCTCATATTTATATTTTATTTCGGTTTTTGTTATATTGATGATATCAGTAAAATTAGTGTTGATAAGTCTAACAATTAGATAAACTTATATTTCACAACATATTTTTATACTCTAATATCATACTGTAACAAATATTAAATAAAAGTACAATATTTCCCATAACAAGTATGCACTTGTATTCAACATTGTGACGAAAGTATGATATTTCATTTTAGAAGTATGCACTTTTTTTTTTCAAAATTATGACGCGTCGACAAGGACGTAGCCATAAATATTTTCTACCAAGGGCTACTAAAATCGATTTGTTAGGAAGTAAATCTCAGCTCGTAAAAAAGTCAATCTTGACTAATTCATATAATAAAACATAAAATAAAAATTTAATTTAAACAACCGGAGCTTAATTGATTACACTCGATTTATTAAATGATCCGAGCCAAACATGCTCATTTATTAACGAGCATAAGTTCGAACACGACGTATTCGACTCAATTTGACTTCAATAATATCGCTACTGTTATTTTCTTAAGTGTTTAATGTAAATAGTAAAATGAAAGAAAAATAAATTATTAAAAATATGTCACTTTTTTTTTAGTAAAACAAGTAAATAATCTAGACCTCATTTTTTGCTATATATTTCTCAACCCGTAAGACAATGTACGAGAATATGTAGTCAGCACTTACTTATTTGATTTAGCAAGGGTGAGACTTATTCTGGTAGGTCGACATACTCGATATTTTGGTAAGTAATGTCGGTTGCATGATGTGCTGTCAATATTGTTTACGGTCATCGTATCCCAGGAAAGTCCGGGTTGACGACGTCCCCGAAGTGAGCTCAAGATCGTTATGTCAAGCCCTGCAGACGGATTGAGTTCTGGCATAATGATAAAGAATTGAGTGGTACTGGCTAAAGACATAGAAGTTGATTAATTAAATTGTCAGTAATTAAATTAATCAACTGACGTTATATCTTAAATACGGGAATATAAATCAAGCAATAATAGAAAAACAAATTAATTATAATTTGAGTTAAATTGGGAGTGCAATAATATTTCTCTATTGGAATGATATAGAGATAATTACCTGGTGGACGACCCGTAGGAAGTTTTTTTTCCTTAAAAACGAGATAATTGTTTTTATTATCAAACTAAACTTTCCTATCCACGAGAGTTTGGTTTTATCATTTATTCATTCAATTTCTCTCTCTTTGTTTCCTCTCGCTGCTCTCTTTCTTTGTCTTCTCTCTTCTCCAGTTTCTCTCTTTCGTTGCTTCTCGCCAAACACATACACACTTCGCGTCCGATTGTGCGGTGCGGTCCAGCCATGGATGCAGCCAAATCACCGCCATCGTACTCGTTCAGGTCAAAGAAGTGCGAAGCGATTACCCATCCTATCGGATCTGAAGGCGTGGAGAGCTCCCAAGACCGACCCGAATCCATTGAGGGTGAAAACGTCTGGGAAGCCGATGGATTCCACGAGGCGGTTGAACAATCTTTGCACGACGATGTCGATCGAAGAAATCAGGGAGGCGGACATGGAGCTCCAGGGATGCAGATCCGACCCATCAGAAGATTTGATTTAGGGTTTAGCAAATTTGATTTGTTGTTGTCGGATTTCCACCGATGTTTTAGCAGCTGAGCTCTTTTGCCAACAGGGATCCAAAAACTTCCTTAAGCAACCGGTTAGAAGACCAAGAACGGTGATTGGTTGTGTGTCAGAACAGATGAAACTCTTCTCGCTTATGTTGCTTCCGGAGGCCTGGTCTTATGCTTGAAATTATATACTCAATGAAAGAAATAAGAATAAATCCTAGCCACCGGATCGGATAATCTAGTGGCTTAAAAAAATCCAATATTAAAAACACAGTAAGGGTATTAATGTAATTTGTGCTCAAAATTAATGTGTGCCCACCCCATTCTCACTCCATTATCGGTTCCCCCACCCATCCCACCACAGACACACACACACACACTGCGCAGGGTAGCCCGCCGTCCGTTCCTCATCGCCGGCGAGATTCTGCCGTCTTCCTCCCCGAACATCCCCGCACTTTCGCCCGGAATAAAAATGCGCCGTCGATCTCCTCCAATTGTTCCTCCATCTCCGTCACACCTTCCTCCCGCGGCTCATTACTCTAAGCAGCTCCGACCGACCACCTTATCGCCGCCGTCTGGTCCGACGCCGGAGCTCTCATCGCCATCGTCCTCCATTAAACGGCCACTGACTGTAACGTCTTGTCACCTTCCTCCGCCGCATAGCCCAGCCGTCTGCAAGTGTTGAGCGTGAAGACACCTCCGACCGACCATCTTCACCCTGGTTGTCGTCATTCCTTCCCGTTGTGGTCGCCTTTCCTCCGCCGTCCACCATCGGAGAAGACGACCTGCTATGGTCACTTACAGAGAAGACGAACCGCTATTCACTGGATCGGCCCAATTCTGGTTGCAATGTCCGATCAATTATCGAAACCAAAATTGATGAACTTGGTCGCCGGCGAGGTCTTGGCGGGACAGAGAACGCCCGGAATGTTCGACGGCGTCAATTACAGTGGCTGATGTGATGAGGAGACCATTAACAGAGATTGAAATTGGGGGGTTTGTGTTTTGAAAATTTGATATTCTATAGGGGCTGGATTGCAATTTTCAAAAATTAAAATATATTACAATTTAATTATTGGGTCAAATTTGCAATTTATTAGAAATATAATAAATGCAAACTATATTCAATTAAAATAAGTATACTATGTGTATATGCACATTGCAAATATCATCACTACAAACTACAATAATAATAATAAACCAATAAGCAATTTATTTAATATAAATTATTAAATAAAAAATACTAATATTAAATATATATTCATAATATACATAATAATTCATTAAGAAGGATTATATTAATTTGATGGACTGATCGAATGACTATTGTTTTTCAAGGAACAATAATATAACATATTAAATAACAAAATTACAAATATTAAATATATTTTTATAATAAAAAAAATTGATAAAACTTTAACATGAAAAATTTCAATATACAAAAAATATATCACTAATAAATATACATTTATAATAATAAATAATAAATTATTTTAATTATTTAGGTTAGTTTGATGTACCATTATATCTACTAAATATAGTTTTAAAAAAACATACTTTATATGCGCTCATATAAAGTAGTGCACTTTATATATCAACACGATGCACTTTATAAAACAACATGTTGCACTTTATCAACACACTCCACAATTAATGTCAACAGCTACCGTCAAAATATTTGGCTATATAAATCTAATCATTAGATCTATATAATACTTTAATATTCATCACATCATCTATACAATAAAAAAAACATATGCATGCTAACGTACCAAAATTCCGGTATTGCACTTTATATATCAATACGTTGCACTTTATACAACAATAAATTGCACTTTATAACATAAAATGTTGCACCTTATAAAATAACGCGTTGCACATAAATTTTTTTTACAAATATATTGGTTTAATTATCTGTTTGTAAGTTTAAAAATTTTGGTATCTCAGACTGTTGTCAGCTTTATTGTTTAAAATAATCGAACCGACCGACAAAAAAAAAAAGTATTTTGATTTACAAAAAAAATGATATAAGATATTCAATAAAAACATTAAAATACTAAATATATTTAGGATTTAGTTTGGTTTGAGATAAATTGTTAAAAAATATATACACTTCGAGTGCACCTTAGCGTTAAACGAATTGCACGTTGATGATTGTCAGATTGCACCATACCGATCGAAATCTAGCGAACTAAGTTTTTTGTCTATAATTTATATGTTGGTTCGATTATCTATTTTTACCTTTAAAATTTTAGTTATTTCAGTTTGATTGCATATTTAATTTTTAAAATAACCGAGACCAAATTATATAAAAAAACATTATTTTTTGTAATTTTTTTTGTAATCTTTTTGTTTAAAATAATATTCTTAAACCAAAAAAATATAAAATGATAGATAAAGTATAAAAATAATAAATATGATATTTTAATTTCATTTATTTCGATTAATTTAATTAGCCGATCAAATAAGCTAGTTAATTGTGTTCGGTATTAAATTACTTTGAAACAAAAGATCGGTTAATTTAGATTGCACAATAGCGATTGGAAGTTTGCAGAATACCTTTAAACGGATTGCACATTAATGTATGTTGGGATGCACATTATTGGGCATTTTATTTAATATTATTGTGCATGTATTGGTTTTATTAAATTACATAGTCGCCTCAAATACTAAATTATAATATTATATTTTTATAAAAAATATTAATTTTTATATAATTTTTATATAGTTCGACTTATTTTTTAAAATAACCAAAATAAACGAACAAGCCGAACAATATAAAACTATTATTACTATTTTTTTTAGTTTTTTATGTATAACGTTGCACATTAAAGTTATACAAATTGCACATTAGTGACTATTAAATTGCACCACATCAAACGAAACCGATTTAACCAAGTAACCTTAACCTCTTTTCATTTGGGAATATATTTTTATTCATATCAACAAATTTTATCAAAATAAAATTTAAACTAAATATTTAACAGTTAGCTACTTTTTTCAACCGTCAACAACTTATATTAGCCAGCTACATGTGTATTTGGGAATGATACATGGACAGAAGTCTCAAACTTTGTTCCAGAAAAAAATAAAAATAAAAAAAGTGCCTGAAATTCCCAATTATTTTTTGAAATTCCCAATTAATTAAAAATAAAAACAAAA